AGGGCGAAGCTGTCTGTCTGAGGGAGGGACCACAGTCCGGGTGGGAGGGGCTGGTCGTGAAGCTTCCTGAGCTAACCTTTGCTTCTCATAATGCGCGTAGATCAGCGATGCGGATGCTTTCAAATCTGCTCCTGAAATCCACCGAGTGTTGTTGCAATCGCATGCTTTGAATGTAACTTTGTACTGTCGCGGCTTGCTGTCGTACTTCCGATTGGTGATGACGCGGTCAACTGCCTGATGACCATCCATAGAAGGAGGGTCCTGCGATCGTCGGCCCGGAAAGTCGTCGCTCTTAGCTGGCGTGTATGTTGCCAGCTTCAAGGCGTGAAAGACTGGATGGACTGTCAGATGCGGGGGGATGTTGATCACAAATGAAGGGCCATCGGGCTCATCGCCAGCGGCTGATGTTACGGGCCATGGTCCAAACCACTTGGGAAGCAGTTTGCGTGAGACATCCTGTTCCAGTGCAAACTCTTCCGCGGAAACCCAAACCAGGTCGCCGGCGCGGATGGGACATGGCACGCGATGCCTGTTGGCTTGCTGCTGCATGTGGACTTGAGCCTTTTGCGTATTTGCGCGGGCTTGAGTCAGCAATTCCCTTTACTTCCAGACGGAAGAGGGAGAGCAGGCAGCGTCAATGTCGGCTGGTCGAGGGAGGAGAAGGTCGGCGAAGATCCGGCCTTTCCGTCCACCGTGGTGTAACTCGAATGGAGTCACGCCGATCGCCAGGTGGACCGAAGTGTTGTAGGCAAACTCGATGTCGGGGAGGCGGTCAACCCAATCTTTCTCCACGGATGAGCGTACGAAGCATCATTTGAGCGGTTTGATGTGCCCGCTCCGTTTGCCCGTCCGTCTGAGGATGCCGAGCCGAACTTGGTTTCATCTTTGTGCCGGACTCCTGCACGAGAGCAGTCCAAAATGCCGACATGAAGCGAGTGTCGCGGTCGCTGACTATGTCTTCCGGTACACTGTGGCCACAAATCCAACCGGTGTGCAAGAGGCGTGCCAGCTCGGGAGCCGTGGAGTAGTACTTGCAAGGGAGAAAACGCGCATACTTACTCAAACGGTCCACAACCGTGAGGATGCCGTCGTGCCCGAGGCGATCACGAGGAAATGGTCCGGTGACATCCATGGCAATGGAGAGGCCGGGTTCCCGTGGGATAGGCATCGGGTGCAACTCGCCGTAGGGGTTGCGATTGTGGGGCTTGCTTCGTCGGCAAACTTCGCAAGAGTCGCAATACCGAGTGACATCGGTAACGAGGTCGGGCCATCGGAATCGTTGTCGAAGCCGTGCAATGGTGCGGTTGACTCCGAAATGGCCGGTGAGTCGCGAGTCATGGTACTCGCCGAGAAGGCGAGTCCGAAGACGACGGTCTCGTGGGACACACAATAAGTCCTTGCCTCTCGAGTGGAGGAGCAAGTACCCGTCAGCAATGCGATAGTGGCTGGCCGGCGGGTGATCCGAAGATAACTGCGCATACAACGTGGCGAAGTCCGGATCCGACTCATATCCCCGGATGAAGTGTCGCTGAAGTTCCTCGTCGAATGCGAAGGCATGATGTGTCATAGCGCAAAGATCMGGTCTTCGCGAGAGTGCATCTGCTGCGTGATTGGAGAGGCCGGGAAGATGTTTCGGTGTGAAGTCAAATTGGTCAATGAAGCACATCCATTGCCCGATCGTGCTGCTCACCGTATCCTGCGTCTTGTAGTAAGTCAGTGGGTTGTTATCTGTAACCCATGTGAACCTACGACGCCCAAGGAGGAAGTGCCGCCATCGCTTGAGAGCCATGACGAATGCGAGCAGCTCCTTCTTCCTTGCATCATCAAGCGAGTTGATGGGAGGCACTTTGTGGCTGAAATACTCCACAGGGTGTCAGTCGTCGCCGTCGTGTTGTTCCAAGACTGCCACAATGCCATAGCTGGAAGCGTCAGTTGTCACTCTCGTCGGCAGGGTGGGGTCATAGATGCTAAGGACGGGTGCCATGAGCATGGCCGTCTTAAGTGCTTGGAATGACCGGCGTGCGTCGTCATCGAATACGAATGGCACCTTTGGCGATTGTAATCTCGTCATAGGTGCAGCAATCCTTGAGTATCCGGTGATGAATCGTTGATAGTAGCCCGCCGACCGCATGAAGGAACGGACGTCCGTGGTGTTGGTGGGCTCGGGCCATACGCAGAGGGCCTCGATCTTGTCCGCGAGCGGACGGATGCCTTGCGGCGTCACATAATGTCCCAAGTACTCCAGCTCCTGCCGCGCGAATTCGCATTTGTCGCGGTTTGCTTTGTACTTGGCTTGTCGTAGCCGCTCCAAAACGGTGCGCATGTGTTCCACATGCTCGTCCAAACTCCGGCTGTACACCAGGATGTCGTCGAGGTAGATAAGTATGAAACGATCCAGCATATGTCGGAACTCCGTTGTCATAGCCGCTTGGAAAGTGGTCGGGGCATTCGTAAGGCCAAATGGCATAACCAGCCATTCGAAATGCCCATATCGTGTCTTAAACGCGGTCTTGTAGCGGTCCTCCTTCCGAATCTCGAGTTGGTGATATCCCGACTTGAGGTCCAGTTTGGAGAAGAACTTGGCGCCGCCCAGTCGCTCGAGAAGGTCGTCGATGCGTGGGAGAGGGCCGGCGTTTCTGATCGTTTGCGCGTTGAGCTTGCGATAATCGATGCACAACCGCAAATCCTTGTTCTTCTTCCGGACGAAGAGAACAGGAACACCGTATGGCGATGAGCTAGGCCGAATCCAGCCTTTCTCCAGAAGGTCGTCGAGTTGTGCCCGAAGCACACTTAACCCTTCCTCGCTCATTCGGTAGATGCAACCACGCGGAGGTACGGCCCCGTCCTCGAGGATGATCTCGTAGCGGATGGGCCGATCCGGTACTACTCCGTGCGGGCCTTCAAACACGTCGCCGTAGGCGTCGAGAAGCTCGGTGATGCGTGGATCTGAAGATGAGTCCGTCGGTGAAGCGTCATGGGGCCGGAGGGCGTGGAGAAAACACACCCCCATCTCCTCGATGTCGTCTCTGATGATGGAAGCTCGCATGCTTGAGGTGGATACCACGTGGCAACTGATAGAAGGGTGAGGAGGAGCCACCGTGCATGGGACTAGTACTCCGTTCCGATCACGAACGTGAACGGTGCGGCGGTAGAAGTTCACCGGGTGGTCCTCGCTTCGCAGCCACGACATGCCCAAGATCATGTCGAATTTGGTGTCCAGAATGTCAAAGGACACCGCCTCACTTGCGTGAGGGGCAAAGTACACTGGGACATCATCAATGCACCGGTCGATTGACTTGTGCGTGTGACCGTCTGCCAACGTGACTTGCGTGGGCTGGGACTTCCTTCGGACGCGTGGGCCAAGGCCGGCGCGCACCATGAAGTCCTGGCTGATGTAGTTGCGAGATGCTCCGCAATCGATCAAAGCGTTGCAGGTCGCCTCTCCGATCTGAATGCGTACATATAACAATGGTGCGTCGATGTCGTCGTACCGTTGCGTCTTGAACTTGCGGTCGATCTTCGCAATGTAGGCGTAAGGTCGACAACCTCTACTCTGGCGTCCATCAACGGAGTTGGTACTGCAGTGTGCAAGTAATCCCGCTATTGTGCCATGAGCACGTTGCAATGCGGTTTCGGCAATCGACCGGACCGGGGAAGGGGCATCCATTGGAAGTCCGCAAATGTCAACGGGTCGAGCTCTTCAAGTCTTGACCATGACGTTGAATCCCTGGCCGTAGATGACGGCGAAACTGCCGAATCGGTTGCCGATGGTGATGAAACCGTGCATGCGGTAGATTGATGCACGTGGAGAGGTTGGTCCAGCGGTGGGACCAAGTGGACAACATAGTCCTCGTAAGTGTACCGAGGACTTGCGACATGCGCATCCTCCCCAGATGTGTAGGAGGCCGCTAGCAAGGCGGCCGAATCTGGCGGAGTGAGAGGTGGAGTCGCCTCACCTCCTGTGCGACTCAGTTTCCCGAGTTAATACGAGGCCGAACATCCTCCTTGCCTTGATCAGGGCATTGGGAGGTCTTGTGCTTGGTGCTGTTGCACCAATAGCTGCAGCCGTAGCGGCCCCGGTACTTGTACTCGGCCTCGGTCAAGGTAAACTTGACCCATGGTGTTGGCTGTCCGTTTCCGGCTGGCGATACGGTTTTCGCCTTCCCGTTCACTCGGGGCTTGTTGTTGCTTCGCGGCTGGACAGCAGCCACCTGATCTCCCTCACGTGACGCTTGGGTGGCTGCCGGGTCTTCCACAATGTTGTCCGTTTGGACTGCAGCGAACTGCTGCGGTCGCGGACCAGTTCTCACCTTCTCCACATAGGTTGGCCGCCACGTTGACTTCTCGTGTGCAGCCGCCCTGTTGGTCTTGATGATCTCCCTCGGCTTGTCAATGATTTCAGCGAAGGTTGCATATTGCTAGCGGTCACCAAGTGCGAGGCTCAATGCAGCACATGACCTGTTATAGAACTCGCGGCGCAAATGCGAAAATGGTAAGTCCAGATCGGGTGTTGCCGCGATCTTCTGCCATTCCGTGAGCCAGTCACGTGTTGCTGTGTTGCCTTCCGTCATGGCGAAGAGATGGTTGATGGCGAGTGCAGGTGCGTCGTCCACGATGAACCGCTTCTTCCAAAGCCGTGTTAACTCTTCCCATGAGATCTTGTCTTTCAGATCTGCGACGTCGACGCCATGGGTGGATGTCAGGTGGCTTAACCAGGTCTGGCATCCGCCTTTGAGTTGAGAAACAGGGCGCCGATGTATGCGTGCTTGGCGACGAACAGAATCCGCAGCTGCGTCGTAAAGCCTTCCCACCAGAGGATCGGGTCTTGATGCGTGTAGTCATCAAACTTCTCGATTTGAAATGTCGGCATCTTATAATGCGTTGTGCTGTTGCCATCCTTGTTAGGGCCGCTGCTGGGCAGGGGGCTTGCGGGGCGCACGAGAGGTGAGAGGGCCGCTGCTGCCAGGGCGCTTGCGGGGCGCACGAGAGGTGAGAGGGCCGCTGCTGGGCGCTGCTGGGCAGCGGAGCGCTAGCAGCCATAGCCGGGCTGCAGGGCGCTAGGGGTTAAGCGGGCGATCGGTGGTCTTAAGGAAGGAGGCAAGTGTGGGTGGACAGGGTCTGATGAGGGGAGACGAGATACGTACCTGGTACATGAGAGATGTTGGCTATGGTGTTGACGTCATATACATTGGTCTTCAAGAGTCGAAGTGAGCCTGTTGCAAGAATGGTGATGTAGGTAGGATAGTCGAGTAGTGTAGGCTGGGCGCTGGACGCCAAACAGAGAGGAGCGACTTTGGATATTGTGTTGGTGTGGCCTGAGGGCTTGAACATTGGGTTAATACTTCATTGTATTGCTCTTATTTGGATGGAAACTCGGTGCATTTGTGCTCTCTGCTTGTACACGACTACTTGGACACCTGTGTGATTTTGCAACTTGGCTTTTTGTATATCGTTCCCACTTAGATTCCTTGCACACGTCAGCATCATCAAGTGTACAGCTGGTGCCGTAGTCAGAGAGTGGCGCCAGTGCAAAGCTCTAGCAGTCCTGCGTCGCCGCACCAGCGTCAAGCCAGTGTCGAGCCAGCGTAGAGCCAGCATAGCGCCAGCATCCAGCCAGCGTCAAGCAGCAAGTGCAAGACTGAATGTCCACCAGCAGTGGCTGGGTCAACTTATAGGGTTGACTCGAGTTGACCAGCCTCTGGTCTCTCAGATGTGATTTCCCAGATCGTCTGTTAGCCAATGGCCTGGATCTCATACAGTTGCAGATTCCCACTTGGACTTCATTCCTTCTGGATACCTGCAAACAACCAAAGGTGTGTGTCTGATCTGCGGCCTAGGGTGGGTCCATGTTGACTCTGACTCGTGAGCCTGAATTTCCAAGCTGCGGTTGACTGTTGACTTTCCACACTCAATTGTCTCACGTTGGACCTCTGAAGGCCAGTTTCAGCCTTGCCTTTGGGTACCCCACAGCAGCAGGTGTTCATTCAGGTTGTTTCGTGACTTGGGCGTGACCTTTGACCCCTGTTTCGGGCTTTCGACCAAAAATGACGATCCACAGCCCACGGCTGATGCATATTTGAGCTGAGTTATTGCAGGCAGCCTCAAGACCTGAGCCAAATTGAGGAAAAGCAGCTAATTCACAATGTTGTGCAAGTTCTAGTTCAAACCTCCAGTACATCCGAGCCTCTTTTTGCCAAGGCGGATTCCCCTTGCGCGCCAAGCTTTGCCAAAACTCCAGCCCAGTGTTTTTTTCCCCTTTTTGGCTGGTGCCGCCAGCCATTTTGGTGCGGTAGCACTGCTCATCCGAACTTTTCTGAGTGACTCATTTTCAATTCTCAAGTTTGCCTGCTCATCCAAACTTTTCTTTCACAGCTTTCAATCAAGCTGCAGAACCTACACCCTGCACCTCTTCTGGGAATGAAGACAACAATTTTCCAAAGACCTTCCCGGTACGAAATCCAGGATGAGGAGGGGGAGGGGGGCGGGAAGGGGGGCCAACGTGGTAATAAAAAAGGAAAGGAAAAAGGTGGCATTCACCTAAGAACTCTGCTGACCCACAAGCCACATCCTGTACGGCCCTTGTCATTTCAAGAGTCAGTGCTGTCTCATGACTCTCCTCTACCTGCACAAAATTATTCCCCACCCTCACACACACACACACACACACACACACACACACACACACACACACACTTTTTGAGTGTATAGCGAATATGACAACACACGGAGACACCTAACAGGCAAAGAGTTTAGTCAGGGCGGCATAGGAAGCACAGAGAGCATAAGCAAGCTGTTGGCCTTGTGTGCAAAATTGTGGGGCACAGAAGAGCAAGGGGGGGAAAGCATACGCGTTTGGTTCGCTTTGCAGCAAAATGTTGCTTGGCAGGCAAAAACATTTGCTAAATTGTTTTTATGTTTGCGGTACTCTTTCCCTAACCCAGCAGAACCTACCCGACATCTCTGATTTTTGTTTCTGGATTTGTGTTTGTCAAACAAGACGAGAATTCAGGATCACCAAACTTGGGGCACTCCGCTCCAAATTTTGTACCCCTCCCATCCCCTCTCCCCTCCAATTGTTTCGGTTTGTCAAACGAGAACTTGGGGCACTCCGCTCCAAATTTTATACCCCGCCCCTCCCCTCCCCGCCCCCTCCTCTTCCCTCCAAATTTGGCCTTTGGTCTTTTGTCAAGATAGAAGGAACATGCACTCGCAGAGTTTCCTCATGGATGATACCCTTCGACCAATACACTCAATATCTGCACCTGTCCTCATGTTTTTTTTCTGCAAAAAAGAAGAAGTGGAAACGTTGATGGTGCATTGTGCCACACTGCTCGTCACCTTGAGCACACACACACAATGAGAGATCACACGAAATCCACACTGGAGACCAGAGATGCAAAGTCCAGATTAGCGCAGCTTAGAAGTTCCAACGAATTATCATATTACACAGTTTCGGGGTTCCAGTCACCAAGCGCCCAATAGCGCAGAGTTCAGGAACCTAAATCCAGCATCCTCATCTACGTAGGTGACCTCCTCCCTCCCTCTCTCACTGCTCTCTCTCTTCTTCATGCATGCATGCTCTCTCTCTCTCTCTCTCTCTCTCTCTCTCTCTCTCTCTCTCTCTCTCTCTCTCTCTCTCTCTCTCCTTGGACTGCGAGACGTGACGCTCGCTTGTGGGTTATGACCTTTGACTGTGAGACCTGACTTTTGCCTCTGGGATGTGACTGTTGACCAGGTACCTGTTAGACTTGACCTCTGGGGTACCCGACATAACCTTTCTGAATCTGGCCAAAATGACCCTGAGATTCAACTTTGGGGTCTGCATCGTACAATGCCTTTCAATGGACAGTAAATAGCATAAGATATTGCAGCTTCCACATAGAGACTCTAGAGTGCCACCACCTTTGGCTTTGACTTTGACTTTGACTTTTGAGTGCAGTTCTGTTCAAAAAGCTTACAAGTACCCTCCAAAGTGTTGGGAATCTTGGGATTCAATGTTAGGGGGTGGCTGCATCACCTATGATCTTTAGATTCTTTACATATTCTTCAATTTTGATATTAAAGAAGAAAGTGGACCCAGTTTCCAGCAGGTGCTTCACCCCTCTGATAGATTGGATTTCCTTAAACCACCACTACATAGTGGCCAGATACATTCCTTAAAGCATTGGTGGGCCTTCCCGACGTGGCTGGACTCTTTAAGTTCGTAGTTTTTTTTTTTTTTTTTTTCCCTGGGTTAAGTCGACGTCCGGCCCAGGCGGACCGGGCCAGACAGACCGGGCCAGACAGACTGGGGGGGGTCCGTCTGGCAAAACCAGACGAGCCAAAAAACACCCCAGGATTTTTTTATTTTTTTTTTTGAAGATGGGTTTGGAGTGCGCTCGCTGAGAGGAGCCCGAATCCGCAGAGAAACTCGTGAAAGTCATGTGCGGGGTGTGTGTG